ACCGTCCTCGTGTCTCCATCACAGAACATTGACGCAAGCAGTGGAACACGTCCCTGGGTTGCCGAGTTGCTGTCCAGTGGCCTGTTTTGTAGAAAATGTCTGATCTTAGTTCAGAGATCCAGAGGAGAGTATGTGGTCCAGGGCCCCAGTTCCAGCCCCACCCCCAGGTCACAACCTTGCCCCATCTTCCGAGAATATTTCTTGCTGCTCCTTTCCTATTGGTGGATATTTTCCCTCTTGAAAATTTCTAGAGGAAACTCAGGTGTGCCCCCTTGAAAATGCTTTCTGTCATGTCTCAGAGCTCCTCAAAATGGAGGAGTTTTTTAAAAAATAAAAAGTCATGCAGGAACTTCTCTGGCAGTCCGGTGGTTAAGAATCCACCTTCCACTGCAGAGGACTCGGGTTCCGTCCCTGGTCAGGGAGCTGAGATCTCACATGCTGCAGGGCAACTAAGCCTGAGAGCTGCAACTAGAGAAAGCCTGTGTACTGCAACCAAGAGCCAGTGCAGCCAAAGATAAAATAAACAAATGTAAAATAATAAAAATCATGCAGCAGTGGGAACCCCAGAGGTAATCTGGTGCGACTCCCACCTTTTACAAATGTGAAAGGCTCAGAGAGGGGGTGAGCTGGGCCCAGACTTGCACAGCCTGCTCCCGGAGCTGGAATTAGAACACGTGTTTTCCCAGCTCCTGGACCACCCCACCCTGTTTGTCTCATGATGGGCTCCAGGCAGCTCAAGGCCTGTCTGGAGGGAGCAGGAGGGGCGGGCAGTCCTACTGCTCCTCCTTGAAACTTCCGGGGCTGTAATCAGATCATGCTGCTCATACTTAGCTGCGCAGTCGTGTCTGACTCTTTGCGACCCCATGGACCATAGCCCCGGAGAAGGCAATGGCAACCCACTCCAGTACTCTTGCCTGGAGAATCCCAGGGATGGGGGAACCTGGTGGGCTGTCATCTATGGGGTCGCACAGAGTTGGACACAACTGAAGCGACTTAGCAGCAGCAGCAGGACCGTAGCCCGCCAGGCTCCTCTGTCCACGGGATTTTCCCAGTAACAATACTGGAGGGGGTTGCCATGCCCTCCTCCAGGGGATCTTCCAGATCCAGGGATAAAACCCAAGTCACCTGCATCTCCTGCATTGCAGATGGATTCTTTACCACTGAGCCACTAGGGAATCGTTTCAAACCAGTAGTTCTGCCATGGCTATAAGTATCCTCTGAGCTTCCATCTAGGAAATTTCTATCTATGCTTGACCTTTAAGGATTCATCCAGCTAAGAAATTCTTCCACGGGGATCTCAGGCTCAGCTTTGGTACTTGCGAACTAAGGACCTGGGCTTTGTGAATGCATCATGTGCTCCGTGGCCGTGCGGAGCAGTGTGAGAGCTGGAGAGTTTCTGAGTGAAACCACGTATTTGGATGGGATCACTGCAGAGTCTAGAGAAGGAGCGGCAGGGACGACTTTGGGCTGGGAATTGGGGGTGGGGCCAGGACCATCCGCCGGCAGAGGCTGGTCTTCTAGGCTGCTCCCGAGGGTCCTCACCCCTCAGTCCTGGGGCACAAAGACTCAATCAGAAGCAGAAGAGTGGGTTTTAACACAAGACTATGCCTGGTTTTGAGAATGGAGAGTACTATTTCTGCACCAAATAGAACAATTCATGGGTCAAGGGGAAATTGGGAAGATGGGAGATGGAGGGTCCTTCTGTGCCATCATCCACATGGGCATCTAATGCTGTTGCTTAGGGCCTTGATCACCACCTTGGATGTGGGTGCTGGGCGTGATGCCCACAATTTTCCAAAGACACATGCAAAGACTCAGGAGATTCCCCAATCACAAAAACACCACCCCGTAGCATATCACTCAGGCTCACCGTCAGATCCAGCTTTATGCTCAGCTGAAAGAGAGAGGAGAGTAATTAGTCTTTCTTGAGTCCTTTCAACACAGTAACATAAAAAAAAAAAGAAAAATAGTTCTCGAAAATAAATCTCTAGGACTGGAGAGGCGACAGAACAAGCTCCATTGTTTGTCCCTCTTCAACGCACTACAACTAATAATAACAGCAAAGAATACAACTGACTTAGAAATTCTTTGCACTCTTTCATACCACTGCAAAATAAGCCTGGGAAAATGATGGGGTGGTTGCGGGCACCCACGTGTGCAGGAGTGCGCCTGCATACCTACTGTCTACGCTCGAGAGCCCTGCGGTGTTTTTGGCAGTAGCAGAGACAATACGTAAACCCACTTGAAATCAGCTTGATGGAAATTACAGGAGTGGAGGGTGATAACTCACTACTTGGGCATCCAGACCAGACCTGTTGTCTTTTCAAAGCAAAAATGTGATCCAGAGCAGAGCCACCACTTGAAATTTCTTCTCCATTTGCAAGTCCCTAGGCTCAGGTTGGAGCAGACACCTGTCAGTAACTCATCCGTGAATCTGGAGTTCAAGAGCTACCTGTCTGGGAGCCTGAGCCTGCTGAGGCTGGAGATGGGGAGTTAGGCTATGGAAATAGTTGTTTTTCAGAGTTGTGTGATAGACTTATGGAGGTGGGGCAAGATCGATGACCAGAGAAGGGGTCCAAGAGAGTGTTCGAGAGAGAAGAAACTCAGAGATACAGAAAGATCAGAGAGGTAGGGATGGGAACAGCAATACAGAATGCTTAAAAAACCAAAGAAGATTATGAATCTGGATGCGTTTAAGGGTGGCTGCAGGGCATTGGGGAATGAGGGACAGAGTGGGACATGGGTGGAGGGAGGTCAGCTTACCAAGGTGGGAGACCAGGGGGCTTGTCCCTGAAGGTTTTATCTCTAGGCTGAGCGGAGACTGCTGGAGAGAGAGCAGACACTGGAATGGGAAGGACAGGGACCTCTGCTCTGGAACCATGGGGCAAGCTTTCCATTCGGAGATGATAATGAGGCATGTTTGCTGTGATGGTGTGGATGGTGGTAGGTGGTGGAGATAGAAAACTCAGTAGGCATCCATAGGACACACACAGTGGGCACTCAATAAGTGCCCATAGAAATTTATGAAAACACAGCGGTAGACACAATAGTACCAGCTTTGCACTACTAGCTGTAGCTTAATGGCAGCTATTCCAGAGAGTTACAACCGTGATAAAATCAACCAGGGCTGCCAAACGGCTTGGAAGAGTCAGTGCTCTCAGGTTTGGGGCTCATGCGGGGAGGAGGACATGCACCCCAACCAGAGATGACCTCACTGGCCAAGGCTCTGAGCCACAGGAAAGGAAGTAGGGAAGGAAGAAGCAGCCTTAAGAAGCTTAAAAGTCATCCTTTAAGGCTGCAAAAAGTGGTGGACTAACTTCCCCAGAAAATACCTCACCCCACAAATGCAAAATAAAGGCTAATTCTGATAAATAATGACCTCATGCTCTCTGGCAGATGGGTCACTCCTTGCCCTGCTGTGTAATGGTCTTGGACCAACAAAGTGGCCCAGAGGATTCTTTTGCAGCCTTCACATACCTCGCAGGGGGAGCTAACGTTTACTAATCTCTTAATATGCTCCAGTCATTACTATAGGCTGACTGTGTCCCTTCAGCTTGCTATGTGGAAGCCCTAAGCCCAAAATGATGGCATTTGGAGATATTTACATTTAGATGGGCTTCCCTGGTGGCACAGTGGTAAAGAATCCTTCTGCCAATGCAGAAGACACAGGTTCAATCCTTGAGTTGGGATGATCCTCTAAAGAAGGAAGTGGCAATCCACTCCAGCATTCTTGCCTGGAGAATCCCATGGGCAGAGGAGCCTGGACGGCTACAGTCCATGGGGTCACAAAGAGTCGGACACAACTGAAGCGACTTAGCGTTCACTCATGAGTGGACAAGAGCCACTTTACCAATGAGGCAACTCGGGCACAGAGAGGCTGCAAGTTAACGCGTAGAACCAGGAACTAGATGCAGGCAGATTGGTCCCATTCTCCTAGCTCCTACCCCATCACACCCTCTTTAAATTGGCGCAGGTACTCCGGGGCTCCCTTCTATAGATGGAAAGGCTGGTGGGAACTTCAGTCTGTGATGCTACGAATAGCCTCCATGTCTGGTTCTGGATGTGTCAGGCAGGCATGTGGGCTAGGGATACACTTCCACTGAGGTTTGGATCCCAGCTCTGGTGCTTTTATTTATTTTTATTTGTTTTTTCGGCCGTGCTGGGTCCTCGTTGCAGTGAGGGCTTTCTCTCGGTGAAGCAAGCCGGGGCGACTCTCTAGTTGCGGTGCCCAGGCTTACTGCGGTGGCTCCTCTTGTTGCAGAGCGCGGGCTCTAGGGCACGCAGGCTCAGTAGCTTCAGCTCGCAGGCTCTGCAGTGCAGGCTCAGTAGCTGTGGGACCTGGGCTTATTTGCCCTGCAGCATGTGGAACTTCCTTGGATCAGGGGTTGGACCCATGTCCCCTGCATTGGCAGACAAATTGTTAACCTCTGGAACCACCGGGAAAGTCCTTGTCCTGCTTCTTGAGACCCGTGCAAGCTTGGTGTCTTCATCTGGATAATGTGTGGTACGGATTAGAGAAGATGTATATGTACTATAGTTTGGATGTAGTGTTAACTTGTAGTGGGTCTTCTATGAAAAGCCCCCACTCAGTCAATCCTGGTTCCTGTCCTCAGCAAGGTCACCTAATCAATTCTTGTAGCCTTGTCGTCCGCTGTCTCCCTAGATCCAGCACTCAGATAGACTTTCAATGAATGAATGAATCAGGGTGATAACTTTCTGTGGATGCACACAGCCTGATATGCCTGAGTGGGCAGCTAGGTAGTCCATCATGATTCAGGCCTGCCTCTTGGCACTTACTGGCAAACGGTGGAGTTTTAGTTCTAAACAGTGAACAGCAGTCTCTTTCATGGGGGAAGAAGACTCATCATTAGAGAGAAATCCCCCCAGGAGTCTTGTGGCAAGAACACTTTGTAGAGACAGCCCCACACAGATAGCAACTTGTATTCAGGCCTGCCTCTTGGCACTTACTGGCAAACGGAGGAGTTTTAGTTCTAAACAGTGAACAGCAGTCTCTTTCATGGGGGAAGAAGACTCATCATTAGAGAGAAATCCCCCCAGGAGTCTTGTGGCAAGAACACTTTGTAGAGACAGCCCCACACAGATAGCAACTTGTCTCTTGTGAAGACAGACGGAGGGCTCTCCGGCAGCCTATGCACTGTTCCTTCCTGCGATGACATTGTTCTTGAGTGCTGACTAATTGGAGCCTCGGGGCCACCTTGTGCGCTGTGGATGAGCGAGGTTCTGACGCTTTAGGCAAGCTGTTGGTATAAGAAACAGAACATTGCAATCAGCTAGCACAAACCAAGAAGTCAATAACTGCTCGACATCCTGGGAAGGAGATGTTCACGGTGGACCCGACGCTGTGGAAGGACTTTTCCCAAATACACTAAAGCGACTCCATGTGATTGCCTTTTAGGGAAGATGTAGTTGAAAGCAAAGAAAAGCCCCAGGAAAGCTGGAAGCTTTTGTCTGGTTTTGGGAGCCGTGCAGCCAGGTTTGCAAGAATTTCATCTTAGGAAGGATGGAGAGCAGCAGCCTTGATGCTCTAGACTAAGGAGGTGACGATGGAAACTATGACATCATAGTTTTCCTCTCTCATCTGGATACTAGATCATTCAAAGAGACTTATTCATCAGAGGATTCCCCCAAACTGGAGAACTTCATTGAAATGTTCAGGAATCACAGGAAGCAGAATTTCCATGAAACCATAAGCAAATGAGTGTTTCCTGAATCGTGTGCTCAGTTGCTCAGTTGTGTCCGACTCTTTGTGACCCTGTAGACTGTAGCCGGCCAGGCTCCACTGTCCATGGGATTTCCCAGGCAAGAACACTGGGGTTGGTTGCCACTTTCTGCTCCAGGGGATCTTCCCAACCCAGGGATCAAAATCCTGTCTCTTGCAGGGGCATTGGCAGGTGGATTCTTTACCACTGCACCACCTGGAAAGCCCTAGGAAGCTGAAGTAGCGCTCAGAAATTCTAAATTGAAGATGCCATGCTCAGGGTCTTTCTACATGATTTACAAACATTTAGAGAACCATTATCCGTGATAAGCTGTGGATAAATTTGGGAAAGCTCTCACTGCTGATAAGACCTTACCTTAAACTGGACTTCATGTGGCTGGTTGTAGAGACTCTGAGGATGCTATAAAGAGAGATGAAGGAATGGGATGGGAAATAGAATTCTTGAGAGCCTCTGTCATCTGTATTGTAGGAGGCACTTTTCGTGCGTTATCATTTAACTCTCATAACAGCCCTACAAGGAAGATATTATTATTCTAACTTTACCAGATGATGTGGAGAAGGAAATGGCAATCCACTCCAGTATTTTTGGCTGGAAAATTCCGTGGACAGAGGAGCCTGGTGGGCTACAGCCCATGGGGTCACAAAGAGTCGGACACAACCGGGTGACTGAGCAGGCACACACAGATGAGAGAAAGGTGTGTCTTAGGGAGGTTAAAAAAATTTCCCAAGGCCACACAGCTAAAAGATGGTGGGACTGGACTCCACATTCATGCTTTCCCATTAGGTTATGTGATTTCTCTACAACCACATGTGTGTCTACTGTAAGATTATCGCTGTGTTGTTAGATTTCTGTATGAATGTAACCTACTGGTATGTGTAGGTGGTTGAAGGAGAATTCTTTTTTAGTGGATGATGATAGTGAAGCTGTTAGATGTTCAAGCTCTATCACTTTTTTTTTTTCCTAAGAGGAAAAAAATAAATTTTCATTTTCAAAAGGATTGAAAGAAAGTTAGGTCTAGATAGGATTGTGCTGGTCCTTCTTAGATAGTCTGCATTCCTTGGAGACTGTTAGTAACGTAACCCAGGAGTATTATCACTTTGGATTCTGGTGGTTAACATGAGACTAGCCTTTGAGTTTCCTCCCTGGGACAGAGAACAAATGGAAGCTTTCCCCCCTAAAGCCATATGCCCCAAGGTCAAATCTTCAACAATGCAAATGGAGTGAAGTGATGCTGTGGGGAAAATGAATGGTGGGAGCTCTGGCTTCTGGGAACTGTGTCATAACTTGGTAAAGTAACCCTTCCACAGACAACAGTTATGAAACCTGGAGGAACCATAAGAAGGTACAGAAGAGCAATTAAAAAATAGAAATTGGGGAGGCATCTCCGCTTGAAAGTAACTCCATGGGTGACTTGTGTAAGTTTGAGGCTTTGAGAAGGGAGGCCTGAGGCTGGTGTATTAAACCAAGATGCAGATGATGGCCAGATGAGGAGGCACAGGCCTCCCACACAGGGTTGGTGGGGAGCTTCCTCAGCATCCAAGCTCCCACTTTGCAGAATTAAAAATCACAGGGTCATTTTGGTTGAAGGTGTGGTTTTACTGTACCCATGCAAAGGAAGAAAAGTCATAACATTTACTGCTTAAAGATCCCAGAATGAGGGGCAGGGACACAGTGAGCTGGGGGAAGGGCAGTTCTGTCTCTGGGCATGAGTAAGCAGGAGACAGAGAGCAGGGTAGCAAGCATCTATTACTTATAAGATGGTCGGGGGCAGAGGTCACTAACTTTTTTCAGACTCAACTCTTAAGTGGTTATATTAAAAGGTCCCCCAGCAAAAGCAAAGCAGGAACTTGAGGCAGGAATCCTAAGCTCAGGTCCTTATCTAAATGTCCAGACTCTGGGTGTGAGCAGGGTTGTCATACTATAAAATGCCTAGGCAGCAGCTAAAAATAGCTGTTTTCTCATCATAGATTTTTTACCCAGAACTCCCATATGTGTGCGTACATTGAAGTGGCAGAAAGCCATAGCTGTGCTTGCTTAATGTGTTGGAGAACAGAGTTCAGGGCTGGAAGAAAGTCAAAAAGTTTGGGGGGCGGAATTCTTGAAGGAGGGGTGCTGTAGAGAAAGTGAGCCCTCAAATTTACATATAGTTCAGTTCAGTTCAGTCGTGTCCAACTCTTTGCGACCCCATGCCAGGCCTCCCTCTCCATCACCAACTGCTGGAGTTTACTCAAACTCATGTCCACTGAGTCGGTGATGCCATCCAACCATCTCATCCTCTGTCATCCCCTTCTTCTCCTGCCCTCAATCTTTCCCAGCATCAGGGTCTTTTCCAATGAGTCAGCTCTTCGCATCAGGGGGCCNCCAATTATTTTTATTAGTTGGAGGCTAATTACTTTACAATATTGTAGTGGTTTTTGCCACACATTGACATGATTCAGCCATGGATGTACATGTGTTCCCCATCCTGAACCCCCCTCCCACCTCCCTCCCTATCCCATCCCTCTGGGTCATCCCAGTGCACCAGCCCTGAGCACTTGTCTCATGCATCCAACCTGGACTGGCGATCTGTTTCACACTTGATTTTTCGATGCTGTTCTCTCAGATCATCCTACCCTTGCCTTCTCCCATAGAGTGTCTCTGCTTTTTAATATGCTGTCTAGGTTGGTCATAACTTTCCTTCCAAGGAGTAAGTGTCTTTTAATTTCATGGCTGCAATTTACATATAAGATCCACCTAAATTCTCCACCTGAATTCTAGGCACTTCTAAGGTGTATGTAATTGGGGGGAGGGCGGGAAACTCTGTGCCCCAGGGGGCAAGAAGGAGCAGCTGGAAGCTGAAGGAACCAAGTAGAGATTTCAGTTGCTGCTGTTCAAAGACAAGATGAACTTTGGAGTTTGAGTCCAGCCAGCTTAATTACCTGCTAGAATAAATTCACAGAGGAAAAAAAATGGGCTCCAGTCCTCCTACAATGTATCATTAAAACTTACCAGTATCCAATAAAAAATCACTAGACAGATGAAGAAAGAGGAAAATGTTACTTATATTTAAGGGGAAAAAATGTTCAGTAGAAACTGGGCCCATGGTGATCCAGGTGTTGCAAGTACAAAGGAATTTAAAGCACCTGTTATGAATTTATTCCAAGACTTAAAGGAAAATATTTCCATTGTAAAAGATAGGAAATCTCAGTAAGGAAATATAAACTATAAAAGGATCCAAGTGGAAATTTGAAAGCAACTCTGTCCAATAGACCTCTTTGTAGTGATGAAAATGTTCTATACCTGCACTGTCTAACACTGAAGCCACTAATCAACTTAGCTATTGAGCATAGGAAATGTGACTATTGTGAAGAAGGAATTGAATTTTAATTTTATTTAATTTTATTAATTGATTTTAATTTAAATAGACACATACTGACTACTGTATTGTACTGTACTACTGTATTGTACTGCAGTTCTACCTCCAAAATATACATAACTGAAATGAAAGAATTCCTTGAATCATTTAGTAGTTGATCAGAGATGGAAGAAGAGCCAGTGGATTTGAAGACAGATCAATAGAAATTATTCAATGAGAAGAATAAAGAGGAAAAAATGGTAGAAAAATGAGCAGAACCTCATAAACCTATGGGACGATATCAAGCTAAAAATATGGGTAATTAGACTAGCAGAAGGAGAGGAGACAGAAAGTTAGGCAGAAACGCATTTGCAGAATTATTAACTAAAATCTCCTTAAATTTTGTGAAAGGCATTAATTTGCAAATCCAGTAAGGTCACGAGCTCCGAGCAGGATACATATATGGAGAAGTCTGCTGCGGCGCGTTATAATCAAACAACTGAAATCCAAAGATAAAGGGAAAAGCTTGAAAGCACTCAGGGAGAAATAGCACATTCTATTAAGAAATACTTTGATGGCTGACTTCTCATCAGAGCAAACAGAAGCCAGGAGACAGGAAAACAGTAACTTTAAAATTCAGAAAAACTCCCAACACATAGAATTCTATACCCAGTTAAGTTAGCCCTCAAAACTAAAGATTAAGACATTTAAAAATAAAAACTGAGAGAATTTCTGGCAGACTTGTATGACAAGAAATGCTAAAGGTAATTTTTTAGGCTGAAATCAAATGACTTCAGATGATAAATCAGCAGAAAGGAATAAAGGAATAAGCTAAGTACACAGTCTTACACATGTGTATAATGTTCTGTGCGCATGTGCTCAGTCGGCAGTCTTGTCTGACTCTCTTTGACCCCATGGACTGTAGCCCGCCAGGCACCACCTGGAAAGTGGTGTGGCCTTGTATATTTTATCTATTTCTTTAAAATACAGACAAAAAATGCATATGACTATTTAAAGCAAAACTCATAAAACTATATTGTCTGGACTTTCCTGGTGGTCCAGTGAGTAAGACTCTGAGCTCCCAGTGAAGGGGGCCCAGGCTCAATCCCTGCTCAGGGAACTAGATCCCATATGTCGAAATTAAGACCCAGTACAGCCAAATAAATAAATATTTTTGAAAAAT